AGTAGGACATTTTGAGCCTCTGTGTTCTCATCTGTAAAATGGGGAAACCTGCCCTACTTCTCCCTGTGATTGTGGAAGAGCAGTTGAGATGCTGCATACACTGGACCTCATCGACTGTCTACCCAACCTCCAGTCACCATTCCCTCCATCCTGATGGAGCTGGGAGTGGATCCCAGAGCCCACACAGCCCTCATGCCCATGAACTTTGGGAAGGGAGTCAAGGCAGCTGCAGGAGCTGTCTAGCTTTATCTAAGGGTGATCCTACTTTCTCTGTTAAAGACTGGTATAGAAATGGTTTGTGTCAAAGTTGGGATATGAAATGTCCCCCAAAGGCTCATGTACTGAAGGCTTGGTCCCCTGTGCGGCAGTGTTCACATCTGGGACTTTGGGGAAGTGACTGGATCATGAGGGCCTGACTTTATCAGTGGATTAATCCATTAATGTGTGTAAAGTTTGATGGTATTCTAGGAGGTGGTTGATCTCAAGAAAGTGGGGTCTAGTTAGAGTAGGTCACTGGGGTTGTGTCCATGAAAGGTATGTCTTGTCCCTGACCCCTTTCTCTCTCTGCTTCCTGGATGCCATGGTGGGCAGCTTTGCTCCTGCCATACCCTCTGCCATGATGTTCTGCTATACCACAGGCCCAGAATCAATGAAGCCAAGTGACCATTGACTGAAACCTCTCAAACTATGAGCCAAAATGAATCTTTCCTCCTTGAAGCTGATTTTCTCAGGTATTTTGTCACCATAACTAACACAGTTGGTATGTCAGCTTAAGGAGACAAGAAACAAGTTTTGCTGAGGGCTCCTGAGAACTTTTCTTCTGAATATTGCTGTGTGTGGATATAAGATCCAGAACTTGCTACCAGCCTGAGGATAAAATTTACACGTGGAGGACGGAAAGTTGGTACCCTGGAGAACTGTGGGAAAACAGGGCCCACATGACCACATTCAGATAAGACTAAAACTCTTGGTTGAGAGCCAGAATATTTCCTTCTTGTCTTGCATTATTTGCCATTGAAGGCATCTTAACTCCATATAGGTCCAAGTGCTTTACAGATTACAAGGCAATGTAATTACCACTGAAGCCTGGAATATGCTTAGAGGGAGGATATATAAACAGTGATCATGATACAATCAGGATGTATCTCATGGATTGGTTTTATTTATGATCTTACAATTTGTGGTATCTCCTCACTTCCTACAGGGTAGGATCAAAAGAGTATCAATAAATGTATATCAAACTGTTTGAGAAAATAATTTCACTTTCATCAGAATTTTCCTTCTTTAATTGCACACCTTTCTCTACTTCTTAAAGTTCCCTGTTTTCTCTTTTCCTGTGTCATTGCCATCATCTAAATCTATAGTTTATCTAAAGGAAACTAACAAACTAGGAACTGCCACATTTTCTGCACAGGGTCTTCCATCTTCAGAAGGGAAGTGTGAGTCACCAAGAAGAGCTACTAACCTTGCTTACATTTATTCTTTATTGCTTACGTTTGTAGCTTACATTTATTCTTTAAGTTCACAACTACACAAAGCAATTTTTATCCTCAACTTCAAGGAGGAAAGATTTATTTTGGCTCACAGTTTCATTAAAATATTTTGTATAGTTGTCTAATCACAGGAATCAGTATTCTAAGCTAACCATCTCTTTACTTACAGCTTTTTGTTGACTTGCTTTTATCCTTTCCCTTACCAATCCATTCCACAGATATTTTTCTGAACACTCTTATAACAGTAACCCAAGTAAAAAGACTTAGTTCACATCCAATAGGGCAGGCTACTCAAGGTGCAGACTTTGAACCAGAAGCATACTCACCTAGAAGCTTGGCTGAAATGCCAATTCGTGGGTCTCACCCTAGACCCACTGCATTTGAATCTCTAGTGGGGCCGGGGATCTGTGTTTTAACAGAACCTGCAGGTGATCTTTTTGTATACCGGAGCCACTACTCTATGAGTTTATGGCCTACTGAAGAGTTTGGAAACTGTAGTAAAAGCAATTACTATCCTTAGAAATATGAGCAACATGCAATGAGAACCTAGGAAGGGCACTAAAAATAGGTGCTAACAACCACTGAGCACCTAGAATGTGCCAGGCACTACACAGGTATTATGTTCAACACCATAGCAATAGGGTGGGATTTGTACACAACACCTGAGCGACTCCACAGTTTATAATCACTGTATAAAACTACTCTATGGGTAAGAGTGCAGGAGTYATACAAAACAAACAAATAAACAAATAAAACAAGCTGTGTTTGAGCCAAGTCTAACTTTGCTAGATCTGTCAACTGCAGCAAAAGCCAGGATTGCTGTTCTTGGAAAATGATGTAGTATGTGGGAAGGAATGAAAACCAGAGAGACCACAGGATATTTGGAAACTTCAGGTAGTCCAATACAAAGTGCTGGGGAACAGGAGGGGTAGGAATGGGCCTAGAGAGCTAGGTAAAAGTCTTTTTTCAAAAGTTTGTTCTTTTTAGATATATATGACAGTAGAATGTATTGTGGCATATTATACATACATGGAGTGTAACTTATTCTAATTAGAATCTTATTCTTGCAGCTATACAGGATGTGACATTACCCTGGTCCTGTATTCAAATACAAAGATAGGAAAGTCATATCTGATTAATTCTACTATCTTTCCTATTCCCCTCCCTCTCTACTATCTTTCCTATTCCCCTTTGTCTATTCCAGTGAACTTCTAGTCTTCCTCTCTCCATCCTCCCTTGTTGTGGGTTAGCATCCTCATATCAGAGAGAATATTTGGCCTTTGGTTTGGGGGRCACTGGCTTATTTCACTTAGCATGATATTCTCCAGTTCCATCCTTTTACCAGCAAATGCCATAATTTCATTCTTCTTTGTGGCCGAGTAATATTCCATTGTGTATATATACCACATTTTCTTTATCCATTCATCTGTCGAAGGATACCAAGGTTGGTTCCAAAGCTTGGCTATTGTGAATTGAGCTGTTATAAACATTGATGTGGCTGTGTCACTGTAGTATGCTGATTTTAAATCCTTTGGGTATAGTCTTATTGTAAAGGGTTGATATGCTTTGTAAATGAGTTTCTATTTTATTCTGTAGGGAAAAAGAGCACCACTGACRAATTTTACAAGACTGAAAAGACCTGTTTGGTGTCAAAAGGATTAGCAGTAGGGGAGCATGGTCAAAAAGCAGTGTTTCTAGAAATCAGAAGGTATCAATAATAGTTCAGGGTCTAGAAGGAGAACAGTCACGGGAGTTGGCAGAGGGGTGGCTGGAAGCTGTTGAAGTGGAACTGACAGCACTTTGCTATTGAGATGTATTTGTTTAATAAATACTTACTAATTTTCCACTGTGGGCATGGCCACTATTCTTGAAACTGGATGTTTAGGAATTAATTAAATGTCCGTAATCCCTTATAAAGTTTCCATTCCTGTGTGTGATGGCAGAGGGAAGGGATGGGGTTAAATGCCATGGCAGTAGTGATATGCAGTGTGAAGAAAAAACAGGGCAAAGGAACAAACAGCATGTGATGAGGTGGCTGCACCATAGACAAGGATCAGAAAAGCAGTCTCCTAGGGTGACATTAGCACAGAGTCCTAAAGAAAGTGAGAGGTGTCCATCAATCCAAACTCAGAAACTGCAAACGCAAAGGGGCTTTCACTTGAGACCTGAGAAATCAGTTAGAGAATCCACAGATCCCGACAGCTCTGACTGCTCCGAAGAAGGTCAGATTGTACATGGCCTGTGAAGTGGAGGACAGATGAACTTCACACATTCCATCAAAAAGAAGATGGTACAAAGAAGCTGTCCTAGGACTAAGCTGTCCCTTACTAAGCTGCTCGAGATTGATAACAAGGACTAACTCAAGGTTTCAAGTGCCTTTGTCATTTGTGACATTTGCAGCTGCAACCTCAAATGAAAAACGTGAATGACCTTGGAGACCTTGGCCCAGCTCTTCGGTTCACATTCCCATGTCATTTTCTCATGTCCAGTACAAGAGGTCTCTTTCCCAGACAGCAACCTGATACAGGTATGTAGGCCCTGGACACCCCAATGGCTTCCTGATTCCACTGCAACCTGCTCTTTAAGGGTTGTTTTTATCATGATTTTCTTCTAGATTTCATGGGCCTAAGCCCAGGGACTTCCAGGGCCAGAGGGAGACACAATGGATAAGAAAACAGGAGGTAGTGGGGGAGGAGGAGGAAGAGGCTGGCAGATGTCAAGTGGATGACAGGAAAAGGGTCACAGTGTGGTGATGAGAAGAGCCAGCTACAGAGGACCCAGCACCAGCAGAGCAGTCGGAAGGCTGAKTTATCTGAAGGGAAGCCCAAGAACACTTGCTAACATCCCAATTTAAAGACCCTGATTGAATGACCTTCTGGTCAAATGAAAAGGGTCACACTTTTCTAAGGACAGTCATTTTGGTAAAGATTTGTTAGAGCTTGGATAAGGAGCTTCCCCGCAAATGCCCGTGTAGATGCAGCAATGTTCAGAGGTGAAGGGATTAGATCATGAGAGCTGGAACACAATCAGTCCAAGTGTGGAAGGRCTGGCGGGTGATTACTGTTGTTGGTGGGGCGTGGCAGAGGGTCACTGGGGGTGTGCTGGGAAGGGTTCCTCTTCCCGTGATCCCTACTCCCTTCCTCCTCTCTGCTTCCTGGCTGCCATGAATGGAGCAGTACTCCTTCATCAGGCTTTCCAGCCATGACATGCTGCCCAGARCAACAGAGTTGGCATGTGTGGACTGCAACCATGAGCCAAAATAAACCTTTCCTCCTCTGAGTTGACCCTGTCAGATACTTTGGCCATAGCCATGCGAAGCTGACCAGTACAATAAGAGTAGAGTCAAAAGTATTCARTGTGTCAGAAAATGTTATTTTAATGGTGTTTAAAAGGGGTTTTGTTGAAGCTTTTGCAAACTAAAAAGCACAACACACAATAGGGGARAAAAGCTTTATTTAATAAAAATATATTATAGTAATTCATTTAAATATAGATATATAAGCATTTTAATATCAACAAATACATTTTATCAAGCAAATTGGAAGGCAGAAAAAATCCCACAAGATAATATGAATATGTAAAATACCCCTAAATCAAATATACTGATAACAATTTTCAGACTGCAACCGTTACTGTGTAATCAATCTTCCATGTTTCTTGATCAGAATAGTTGGATCACGGCATTACCGTCATCCCACATTTCCATGCAGACACTGCTATGTATTATTCTCCATTGCAAGTGCTCCATTCAAACGCATTTGAACTGTGAATCTAGAAGCTAGAGATGAGCTTTTGGTTTTGGTTTATTACTTTCAATAATTCTATCTGAACGTAGCTGGTCAATCTCCTCCTGGCTGAACCCAAATTCTTTAAGTATATCCTCCGAGTGTTCTCCTACCAAAGGGTCTCTTTYGGCAGAAGGGGCGGCTGGGGTGTTGGACAGCAGAGGCGCAGGTCGGGGACTCACGTGCTGCTCCTCGTCAGTCATGAAGGACCCCCGTTCTCTGTTATGGTCGTGGCAGGCAGCCTCTTCAAGGGTCAGCACCGGGGTCACACATGCATCTATGCCATCAAAGATCTGGCACCACTCTGCCTTGGTCTTCTTAGAAAACACATCTGCAAATCTCTTCTTCATTTCCGGCCAATCGGTCATGCTCAYCTGCTTGGGAAGTTCTTCAGACTTTAGTCCAAGTCCTGGGGGAAAAAGATGATTTCTTAAATKATTATGCTTAGGGTAGAGAGATTATAATTAATGAAAATAAATATTGAGCCCACTATATTTATCCCAAATAAAATGTTCTCTAGSGTTTCTCAAATGAATCAAGAGAAGAAATGCAAAGTCAGTTTGAAGTTGGAGCCAACAGCTGGAGAGGGTGGGGTGATGGGGTAGGCAACACTGAAAACACGCTTGTCACTGCCTACGGTTTACCACCGACCTGTCATCAAAAGTAGTCTGTCTTTAATAATCTAGCTTCCAGAAATTGATTTCTTCTCGATAAGTAGGATTTCAAAAAGAAATTTCCTCAGGATGGTATTATCTGTCTTACTGAATGAAAAATAATTCTGTATTTTATATAATGCCCCTGAGCCCTATAAAAAATAAAATTTGAGCAATTTTACATATGACTATCTTAGAAACAGGACTATCTTATTCAAGAAAGAACCCCAAAGATAAATGATGAAATTGAGGATTACAATTTTTGAGTAATGATTCTTTTATCTTTATAYTGGTAAAATAAGAGTCTGATGGGGCTTTGTACGAATAACACAGGACCAGAAAGGTAGCCAAAGACTAGACCAAGATGTTTGGACTTTATTATGGCACAAAAGCATATTCATACAACTGTTCTGTTTTCATTGTTAAGAACCCAATAAATTCAATAAATTACATAGAATTTTCAACACTTCATTATAAAATTGCCTTTGAGTTAGATGGCATTGCACAACTGTARGTGAATGTAGTTTAAAGTAGGTGAGGCTAAGATATGCTGTTCRGTAGATTAGGTGTATAAAATACATTCTCAACTTATGATAGTTTCAACTTAACAATGGGTTTATCCAGACGGAACCCCAGCATAAGTATGAGGAACATCTGTATACTCTAAGGACCACCTTACTGGGGTTTGGAGTAAATGTCATTTTTTCCTCTCACATAATAATGCTGAAGGCTAATGGTAAAATGATAATAAAAGCTCCTTTTTCTTACGGATAGTATTTTTTGTGATCTGCGTCAGGTAAATCAACAGGTTGATCTCACTTTACCAGCCTTCCCTTCCCTTCCCTCCCATGTTGAAGCTCAGGCTAACTGCAAGCTGCTATGAAGAGGAGAAAGTGCCCACAGCAGTAASACATGAAAACTGCAGCCCCTCCCTAGGGTCTTAAAGGGTCCTAGGACATATGGAGAACTCACATAGTTCTGAAGTTTTATRAATAGCTACCTCTGGGCATATAAGTAAAGTTTTCTGGGTAGCCATTTGTTCTATTCGAATAGCAGGACAGACCTGGAGCCATAGATTCAGGTTATCACTATAACCTATGAAGAAATGCCTTTATAGATTTCTTTCACTTTGCTTCCATTTCATAATCACCACAAGCTCTGTGATTAAAAAGCAAATAAAATGAGGAGGCAGCCAAAAGTAGTATATCACTGCTACTGATGGAAATGTCTTTTTTTTTCATCAGAATGTGATCAGAATCGTAACATTAAATAAACTGGGACCAATATATTCTCTAACTTATATTATACTTGAGATACACGGGATCTGGTCTATATACTGGAAAACACTAGAAGCTAAAAGATGCCAGATTCTACTCTTAATTCTGACAGCCCAGTTCTTCCATTTTCATCCTTTCTGGGCAACAATTTCCCTCCCATCCTCACCATGATCAAGCCTCCAGGATTAACCATCACTGGCCAGGGCAGGCTGAGTGCTCTGTTCTTGACATTCCAAAAGGAACTAGGAATCCAGCTACAGCTAGTCTGTTTTATTTTGTTTGCACTGCCTGGGACTGAATCCACACATGCTAGGTAAGCACTCTATCACTGAGCCTCATTCCCAGCCCTCATTAGTTTTTATAGTATAGTCAATATTAAGTTTCTGGTATTTTAAGTCAGACTCACAGGGACTAGCCTAGCATCTTAATCAAACTTGAAAATGTTCTAATTTCCAAAAAAACTACCTTACATACACACACAGCCTTACATAAAATATTTATTATCTTAAGCACATATCATAAACTTTACTGCTATATAACACTATATTAAGCAGTCAAAATCCATGTTTCAAGTATATATTCTTATTATATATATATATATTATATATATATATATATATATAGAGAGAGAGAGAGAGAGAGAGAGAGAGCGCGAGAGAGAGACAGCCACTGTAAGTATATATATAATATAAATGTATATATATTTATATATATAAGGATGGCCATTGTAAACATTATGTCATAATGAAAAACTGGAAAATGTAAATGAACATTAATAGAGAATTTTAATATAGGCATACCATGGAGTATAAAATGACTGCTTTTTATGTAGCATGGTCTGCCTGTATATATATTTATATATCCTTTTATACTGGCAGAAAAGAACATCTCTGCTATACTGCTAAATAAAAAGAGATGGCTGTAAGTTATAMATTTAGATACAATGATGTATAACAATAATATAATTCATATATACTAATGTAATAAATATAACATGCATTAATAATTAATATATTACAAGTTCATGTGTAATCATATAAGAAAAMCACAATTGTGTGTTAAYGTTCATCCAGGAAAATATGTAAAAGGCCACATTGCAAACTTTCCCAAGGTGGCAGAACAAGGGAGACATTTCACTTCTTATTTTAAAATTCTGTATTACTTACAATTTTTAAAATAAACACAGTATTTTGAATTTTCATTCTTTTTTTAAGTTGGGGTAAAATACACAATATCATATAATTTACCATTATGGTTACTTTTAAGTATATGGCTGAGTGGTACTACATACAACCATCACCACTACCCATCTCCAGAATCTTTTCTTTTCCCAAACTAAACTTGGTACCCATTAAATAATAACTTTTCATTATTTTCTCTCCCCAGCCCCTGGAAAACACCATTCTTTCTATCCATATGATTTTGTCTATTCTGGGTTCCTCTTATAACTGGAATCATGCAATATTCTTTTTGGAGAGATTTATTTCACTTAGGATAATGTCCTCAAGATTTATCCACGATGCAGAATTTGTCAGAATTTTCTTCCTAATAATGCTGCATAATATTCCACTTCATGCATATACCACATTTTGTTTATCCTCTTACCTGTCAATGAACACATGAATTGGTTCCATATTTTGGCCATTATTAAAAACACTGCTGTGAACACAGGTTTACAAATACCTGTTAGAGTCCATTCTTTAGAATGTATTCTTGGATCACGTGACTTCCGTGGTTAGTGTTTTGAGGAACTGTTACACCATTTCCATGGGAGTTGAATCCCCTTACATCCCACCAGTATTACAGATGGRTTTACATCTCTCCACAATCTCACCAACACTTATCATTTTTTTGTGCAGTTTTTAAATAATATTTTGAAATTTTTTAAAAAAAACTACAAAATCCCTATTGCTTATCTGATGGTACTACAAGAGTCTTAATCTCAAAATTCTTACTGTTTCCAGATTATTTAATTTTATGTATTTATTTATTTATATTTGCCCYAGAAAACACCAGGGAAACAAAACAGTGAAGTCTACAAAAACTTGGACGTGTAGGTACTGAAAAGCTTAATTAAGGTCTGACCCCAAAGATCTCAAAACACAGGAGGACAATGAAGCATGTAATTAACACTACCCCCCCAAAAAAATCATCATAGATTTGGGGTTTGTCCAGCAGGGCCTGAGAGAGAARTACTTTGTATGTAACTAGTAAAAGTATCATTTTTATTAAGTCAATAACTCTGAAAAAAAAAAAAAGAGGCTGAGACATTGTGTCCTGGGCTCAGTGGACTGTGTGGCGTGCCTCCTGCCTTAAGCATAAATAAGCCTCCTGTCAACCAAGTACGTTCAGCAACTTGCRGGAAGAAAGGTCGAAGATACCACACAAAGAGTTGAGGATGCAAATGGAGGGGACCAAAAAAATCAGGGAGGTTACAGAGTTTAGACTCGGAGGAGCAAACCCACCTCAAGGTGGTCAAGAGTTGAGGGCTGGAACAATTAAGCTACTAACCCGTGTCATTTCATTTTCAGTATTTTCAGAATGGTTCATTCACAGAGGTGGAGTGTGGATGTTAAAAGTAAGCACTGTGAACATACATGCTTTAAAATACCAGGAAGATACACCAGGGAGGGGAGCTAACTTCTGGAATGGCAAAGCAAGGAACTTCAAAAATCTGCTCCCACAGGAAAGCAAAGAGAACACTAGGAAACCAATTGTTGGAGTCAATTCTCTCATCCCTCTCAAAATCACCGAAAAGCCTGTGTGATCTCAGGAATGTTTACTCAAGTTGAATCTTGATTAGTCTAGTGTGCTTTATGGCATTACAACTGCTGCTAAAGTCACCTCTCTCTCCCCTGCTCTGTGGTGGCTTTGAGAACCAAYGGTCACTCCTCAAAGGCAGCTGTGAAAACCAACAGGATAAGAGCCACCAAAGGAAGCAAAACCAGTGTGGAGTTCCCCCCAAAACCTCACCCCCAGAGAACTGTCATTATGTGGCCTGACAGCTCCCCAAAAAGCTCCATTCTCAGGACTGGACTTGATGTGACCTGCCAGTTCCATCTCTAGGACTTTTCAAAATCAAATGGCAATTGTTTAGCCTCACCTCTGCCTGAGGTAGCATTACCCGGGGTATGAGTAAGAAGTTAACCAAAATGATTTAAAAGGAAACAATGGGGAACAGGCTGTCCACAGAGGGTTTTAAAAATCTCCAGCCTATATCTGAGAATATGGAAGGCCGTATGTGTATATGCACATGTGCAGGATCATGTACATGTACAGAAGACATCTGGGAAGGCTCCAATCTCTCACCTCTGGCTGATCTTGAAGTTATGCACAATTGAAAAGGTATAGAATATCTCAGAAAARGATGGAAGAGTTATTGTTTCAAGTTATTTAAAGACATCTCTGTCYAGCATTAACTAAATACCAAGCTAACTGAGCAGATTTCAGTGGCTGCACATACCAAAGAATATAYATTTAGTATATGAAAATCATTAAACAGCAACAATAAGAAATCCAGGACCAGGAAGTAGGGGAAAAAGGGGTGAGCTGGGTTCAGAGCTGCCACATTAAATTATTTGTAATGTCCAGTTTCAATGAAAAATTCTGAGTCATACAAAGAGGCAGGAAATTATGGCCCATACACAGCAAAAAAGCAATCAACAGAAACTTCCCCCAAAGAAGCCAAAGGTTGGATGTACTAAACAAATACTTCAGGAATTATTTTTTAAATGTTCAAAGCACCGAGAGCAATCATGCCTGAAGAATTAAAGAAAAGTATGAAAGCAATTTGAGATGAAAATCGTATTAAAAGAGAACAAAACAGAAATTTTGAAGTTGAAAGGTTGAGCAACAAATGAAAAATTCACTATCGAGAAATATCTCAACAGCAGATATGAACTAGCAGGAGAAAGAATCAATAGACTTCAAGAGAACTGAATTAAGAGTATCTTGTCAGCCGAACAGAAACAAGTATACAGGAAAATGAACAAAGCCTCACAGATCTGTGGGACATGAGTGACTAGAGAGTCTTCAACAACTGAAGAGAGAAAGTACAAGAATCATTAAAGAAATGATGTCTAGAAAAATTCCCAAATGTGATGAAAAACCTCAATCTGCATATCCAAGAAGCTACTCATCCAAGATGGAATTCAAGTWAAGATGAAAAGATTCAAGATCCACACCTAGAAACAATAAAGGAACTCAGTAAGGGTGCAGGATAGAAGATCAATATACAAAACCCACTGTATTTCTAGATACTAGCAATGACCAGTCTGAAAATGTTTCTATCCACAATAAATTCAAAAAGAATACTATTCTTCAGAATAAATTTAACCAAGGAAGTGCAGCACTTCTATGATGAAAACTACAAAGCATTGCTGAAAGAATTAAGAGAGGATTTCCATTTAAATGGAAAGCAAGCAGCCATGTTCCTGGATTCAAAAGCTTAATAATGTTAAAATGGCAATGTTCCTTAGTTTGATACACAGATMCAACAAAACCCCTGTAAAAATCCCACCTATCATTTTTGCATAAATTGACAAGTTTCTCTTAAAATTCACAAGAAGTCCAAAAAAAATCCAAGTAGCCAAAACAATACTGAAAAAGAACTTAGTTGGGGAGCTTACACTGCTAAGTTTCAATAATCAAGCATAAAAACAGACACAGAGATCAATGGCATAGAACTGAAAGTCCAAAGCCACTCTTCCACTTGTGGTCAACTGATGATCAAGAGGATTCCAAGATCATTCAATGAAGAAGAAAACATCTGTTCCATAAATGGTGCTGGGAAAACTGAAGCACCTATACAAAAGAATGAAGATGAACTTTTAATTTGCCCTATACACAGAAATTAATGCAAAAATGGATCCGAGGCCTAAATATGAGAGCTGAATATTGAGATGACCCTATATAACTGCAAGTTTTCTGAATTAACTTTTATGCAATACTTACTGAAGGGTAAGTAAAAAAGAAATGTGTTAATAAAGTTTATATTCATGTTATCAGAACTCGAGTAGCTATAGCGATTGTTTAGAACTCAGGCCACAGAAAGGTGTTAGAGGAATATATTTATCACTGTTGTTTAGAAGGACCAGCTGATTACACTTATATTTTCTCTTTTTTTTAAGAGAGAGAGAGAGAGAGAAAGAGAGAGAGAGAGAGAGAGAGAGAGAGAGAAATTTTTTTAATATTTATTTTTTAGTTTTCAGTGGACACAACATCTTTGTTTGTATGTGGTGCTGAGAATCGAACCCGGGCCGCACACATGCCAGGCGAGCACTCTACCGCTTGAGCCACATCCCCAAAGCCCAATTCTGGGTTTTTAATTTCAATTCTTGGGCAGTAAGGCATTATATATGACCTAGGCAAATCATATTTTTTCTCCTATACCTTTTTTTCAGTTAGTGGATTTAAAGCATTTGGTCTTAAAATGTTTTTCAATATTTACAAAAATAATCATTATACCTATTTGCAAATAATTCAGTATTATATTGCACCTGAAAAGCCATCAACAATGATACTTTGAACTTGAAGTAGAAGGGTAAATGTACTGTAATCAACTTTTCATGTCACTGGAGACTATATTCTCAAATGACTTAGATACTAAGTTATTTGCAGAGTAAATTTTAAATTCAAACATTTCACAGAAATAAAATAAGTCCAGTCCAATTACTTTAAAGGGAAGAAGAGATCCCAGATTTTCTTGCTAACTTGTGGCAGACTGGCCACAGACTCTCTGTACTCAGGTGACACCTGACAGTGTAAGAGGCATCCRTCAAAGAATAAGAGCCGACAAAGGCAGTAGATCCTTCCCAGGGAAGAATAAGAAAAATTGGGGCACACAAAGGCAAGATAAATATACACACTACTGGTGTGACATGTAATAAAAGCACTGGACAYCCCACAAAAAGAATTGTTATATTTTAAGACCCTGAGTTATTATGTACACCAATAAAAATCACCTGTTCACTTAAAAGATAGAGGAAATTCCCCATGGATGGCTAGAGTTAATCGAAAGTTGGATATATAATAAAATATTATGAGACTTAAAAAGGCCCCAAAATAGAGAATAAAGAGTGCTCATGGAAAAAGAAAAGTGGTGAAGCACGTAACAGCTCCCACCTTGGATGAGTTGTCTGTAGAACTGGGGCTCTATGGCTCCCACAGCCATGAACTGCCCATCTGCTGTYCTGTAAGTCGTGTAGAAAGGCGCTCCACCGTCTAACAGGTTCTGTCCTCGAGGCTGTTGCCACAGTCCCACGTTTTGAGTTTTCCACAGAAAAGAACTGAGATATGCTGTTCCTTCCACCTTTGAAGAAGCAGAACACACATAAGTCCAGATAATTCAAGTGTAAAAGCAGGAATAATGTCAATTCAGGCTTTTAAAATGTGTGTGTTGCAGTGATTATACATGTTATGCAACTTCCTAGGTATTTTTGCAAACTTGAGTTAGAGGGTTTACGGTAGAATAACAACCTGTTGTGCTCTTCAGTCCAGAAAATATTGCCAGGCTTAGAAAGAACTACTTTTGTTCTTCCCTTCCAATAAGATTGGCAAAATGTTGATAATTTTTGAAGCTAGATGAAGGTACAAGAAAGTTCTTTATACTAGTCTCCACTTATTTATATATATATATATATATGTTAGAAATTGCCAGAAAAAAGCTAAAAATAAAACAAAGGGATATTAAAGTATGATTTTCAAGACCTACAACAATATATATATATATATATATATATATATATAGTGATATAAGAAACATCGTTATTTAAAGGTAAATCACATTACTGTTACATTTAACTTATTTTGGCTTGAATCCAATACCAAGTAAACTAAATTTAAATGTTTAATACATCTTATCTTTAATGATCACTAGAATGTTACAAAATAAAGAAAACAAGATGSGTGGCAGGTGTATGGCTTTTCTGAGTACACACTAATTATGGGGATGCCACCTTCCCAACAAGCCCTAAAGTAACACTGAATTCGCAAACTCAAGTATGATTATCTTAAGAATCAAAATGAAAAGCGAGATACTCTGGGCCATCCCTGTGGATTTTATACTTCTGATGATTCCAGCACCCCAGAGAGTAGTCCACACAGCATCCTTATCCCTGAGGCTACCAAGAGGGGAGAATAAGCATGGAATTCCTATTACTGGATGCGAAACAAAGACAAGATTTCTTTTAGATACATCTCAAATTTCTCTTTTTATTGAAAATCTCCTACATACCTGAATTTATGGCTGTTATATTTAAAATCACTAAATAAGTAACTTTACAACTTTAATATGGAGACACATTCTAAGAAATGCATTGTTATGGGGTTTCATCACAGTGTGAAGACCATAGAGTGTACTTACACATCCTAAGGTGGAGGGCTGCATAATTGTATGGACCACTGTCAGACGTGCAATCCATCAATGACTGAAACATCATTATGCAGAGTCTGACTGAAGTTGCACTCATGTAAGTGGCCTACGTGGGTGGTGCTTTCACTTTTTGAGACTGAGTTACTCAAATCTTAGCAATCCCATATTTATACCCATATGCCTGATACACACATAAATATGTGCACTATTTTAAATAATTTTATGTTCATGTTGTATGTGAAGTATATTTTTAGATATGTCCTACACCAAATTCAGACATGTCAGAGACAGCTCACTCACATTCATGAGTAAACCTTAAAAGAAATTTTTCCCTTCAAATGGCATGAATTTGACTTTGAAATTGAAATACTATTGTTCTGCATGAGTCTTAATCCCAGCTTGCTCATACAAAACCCAGCAAGTTAGTATCTGCTATAAACAAATACCTACTTTATGCTGAGTCCTTGCCCTGTCAGAGCCAATGGGACAACAAGTGAACTCAAAGTGAGTCAGGCTCTCACACAGCACCGCAGAAAGTTTAGTTGGAGTTTTGAATACTGATTATCCTACTTTTATATTCAGGCTAAAAAAGTGTGAAAAGTTTCAAGATTCTGTATTGAATTATCTTGATTAAAAAGTGTTTCTGCTCTGCTTCATCATAAATGAAATGTACTTAGCAACACAGAAGCCACAGGACAAGAGTCAGGGTGTTAGCTCTCCCAGTCAGACTTCAAGGTCTGTTGGTGGTCACCCCAGCAAGCAGCTTTTCTTGTCCCTAATCCTCATGTCATGCATACTGCCCAGATGAGGTTCCATAACACAGGGAAATGGCAGCTTCATCGACCCACCAAATTTTTATGCYATCCTTATCGTGTTGGCCCATTGCATGCAACTCACAGTGTGTCCATGTGCTCCCTGGAGTGTGGGTAACACAGCCGAGTCGACCCCACATTCCAGTCATCTTAACTCTATAGGGTCCAAGGCAACAGAACTATGGCGAGACAAACACCAAATCATTCCARGTGAGCATGAGCCAAGGATTCTGTTGCTAAAATACTGAAAACTACTGTCCTATAAGAAGAAGGTGTTGCCTCACCTGAATCAGCTTCTACAGCAGCGAAGAAGTTGTGAATGAGATCTACTGATCCTTCAGGCCTTGAGTAATCAGCCAACACTCACAATCCCCTAATGTGAGCACAAATCCTGAGGGCTTCCAGTTTCATAAATGATAAAGCTTACTACCTTCTAATTATTAGGTAATTCTGATTAGATAAAAGCAGTAATCAGATTATTTGATTATAAATAACCACCCATATATTTAGAAAATTAGTCAACTATTACTAGGTAAGTTTTACCTTAAATTCTCCTTAAAATTACCAAAGCCCCATGGTTGTTTTTTAACTGGTCTCTTTTGGACCTATGGCCTGTGCCCACAGAGGGCAGCAGAGGGAAGCAATTGAAAGCTGGAGCTTTAACCTCCGTAGCCTTCAAGTTTTCAACACCAAATGAAAGCGAGCCAATTTCCCTCAGCAAGTTTCATGGCTCAAAGAGGGAGCCCTGTGTAGGCCCCAGCCCTGCACCTGGTGGGGCGAGGGTGCAGCTGGAGGTGGAAGTGCTGTTGCTGTTGCTAWCACTACTTCATGCTGTAGCTGCAMTACACCTGGGCCAGCAGCTAGAAACAAAAGATAAACCCACACCAYTCCTTCCAAAATACATTCTGAGAAGGACACAAAGGACAATGTGAGCTGTGCTCCATGACAGTCACAAGAAACAACACAGGAGAGGACTGAGGAGGAGATCAGATTCCAGCCCGGGATATACTCTGCAAAGGTTGCCAGTGAGCCAAACCAATTTACACTATTCAGTCTTTAAACCTTGGAGGTGTCCACCGGTGTGGACCCTCTGGCCATTACTCTTCTCTAGGCAGCTTCTCTTGCCTTGGTTTCCTCAACAACACTCCCTTCTGGTTCTCTACTTCACCCTCCTTAGCCCTTGGTTTTCTTCTTCTGCCCACTCATTATGWGCTGGTGTTCTGTCCCTTCTGTAGGTGACCTTTCTCACATGGCTCCCAGATAATTCCCAAATGACTCTGAAATCTTTTTCTAATTCTTAACCTCAAGTATTCAAACTAGATATGAAAGGTACTTCATAAAGGAAATGACCAAACTGTACTTCTTTTCTTTTAGAAGAGTCTCAATAACAGAGTATCTGCTTTGTGTTGGGTACTATTTACACCTAAACAATGGATGAACTCATTTAATTCTCTAATAATGCTGTAAAGTAGACATATTATCAYCTCCATAGTACAAAGGAAACTGAGGACAGAAAGGTGCAGTAAYCCTCCCAAGACCACAGAGCCATGAGACCTTGGGCAGATGTCTACACTTCATAACAATGTACAGTCATCCCCCCTTTCTGTAGTTTCACTTCCCACCATTTAGTTACTGTCAAGTGCACTCTTAAGATATTAACTAGAAATTTCTAGAAATAAATCATTCATCAGTTTTAAACAACTTTTATTGCTATGTATRTAACTTGTTATAATTTTTCTATTTATTATTAGTTACTGTTGTTAATCAACTATGTGTCTAAGTTATGAATTAYGTTTATTACCAGTATATGATGTACGTGTTATAGGAAAAAGTATAGTATATAGTGAGATTTGATAATATCTGCAGTTTCGGACACTCACYGGGGGTCTTGGAACATATCCCCTGTAGATAAGGGAGGACAACTGTGTTCCAAATGAARTTGTTGCTTTGAGGGTTAAAAGGAATCACATAGAGAAAGTGCCTAGCAGAGCATGAGGCAAGTGTTGAATGTATGACAATGCACAAACAGAAGCATTATGATATTGGAGCCTCCYCTACCAAATGCAGCAGGAAGGTCTAGACAGGAAGGCCCATTTTGCTTCAGCATCCATGAGAATCTGTTCCACCTACTGATGAAGACTTCTTGAATTCATTCTGAATGAAGATTGCTTGAAAAGATTTTTTTCTTTCTTTCTTTCTTTCTTTTCTTTTCTTTTCTTTTCTTTTTTTTTTTTTTTGCTACTAGGGATTGAACCCAGGGGTGCTTAACCACTGAGCCATATCTCTAGCCCTTTTTATTTTTTTAATTTTTGAGATAGGGTCTTGCTGAGTTGCTTAGGGCCTTGCTAAGTTGCTGAGGCTGACTATGAACTCAATATCCTCCTGCTTCAGCCTCCCGAGTCACTGGAATTACAGGCATGCAGGACTATGCCCAGTTTGAGATATTTTTTTTTTTAAGCACAAAAAATAACTTGGGGAAAACTGTTGAAACACCACAGAGGAATCAGGTAAGTCAGAAAACAGTTCAGAGGAGTGATTCCAAAGATGATTAAATTATGACATTCTGACATGTATGAAGGCTGTGTGCCTGTTTTAAAGAAAAGGATATTCTTGGTGACCTGAATTCAAACATTAAGCTTCATTTATTTCTTGTTCAGAAAAAGATTTGAGGCAACCATATAGCACACATAGGAGCAAGTGGTAGGTCTATCATCCCCCGCCCAATGAATACTTACCATGTTTGCATCAATGACCTGACCTTTGCCAGAGCGTGTGCGTTCAAAGAGAGCCATCAGAATGCCCAGTGCACACATGAGGCCACCACCACCAAAATCAGCCAGGAGATTCAGGGGAGCATATGGATTGTCACCACTTCTGCCAATTTTTGACAGAACACCTATACCATTAAAAATAAATTTAATGCCTCTTTTAAATACATACATGAACTTCACAGAAGAATATCCAATCTCTAGTTACTGACCTGAGTAAAAACTAGTACCTCAGGCTTTTCCAATTTGAACCTACACAGCCTACATGTAACAGGCGGCTTTGTTTTGATGATTTTTTTTCCATTCTAAAACTTAATCCCAGCTAACATTTTCAAAATTTGTTAAGTTTTTACTCACTGGATTTTGGAAAAAATACAATGATTATTATCAATTCATGATGTAAACGGAAAACAGTGTCACATGCTTTCATTCTAACCACAAAGAAAGGCAAGAAAATAATTGTGTATAAGAGATTAAATTTTAAATAGGTGTGAACAGCCAATTTTWTAATTACCTTCTCCCTTAATCTATATGTATTCACAGAAAATCTGAGAATTAGGCTAGAAATAAAGAGACATTAGGACTGAAAAACATGGGGTTTTCCTAGTGTTCACAGAAGCCTGAAACCAGGACTCAGGTGATGATTCCCAATGAAGGAACATCAGAGTCCATCTATTTCAGTGTTTTCAAGGTGTGGGTGATCATCACTACTACTACCAAGTCTCTTACTCCCTAGTAGGGGCCTGAGAACTGACTTCTCAAATGTAGTAAATAAATGTTACTAGTGAGGATATGTTATTACTCAAATGTGTTAAAATGAGAAGGGAGCTTCAGAATCTTTGTTCTAAGAATTCAAATTAGCCTAATTTAAACAATCATGCTCTCCTTATTGATTCTGATAAGAATTTAATCTGCACTTTAAAATAAATTCTTATTAATCAATGTAACTGCAGATCTTGATTGGGAATAAATTTAAAGTGTAGGAAAAAATTATTCTTCAACATACCTGACAAAGCCAAGTAGTTGATGTCATGACCAGCTTTCCTGGAGAATCGTCCTGACTGGCCAAAGCCACTTAGTCTAGCATAGATGAGTTTTGGATTCTCCTGCAGCAGAATCTCTGGCCCAAGTTGGAGTTTCTCCATGACACCTTAGGAGAAAAGTAACAACAAAAAACATTTTTTTAAAAAAAGAGAACATGAATTGAGAAATGGAATAATTCCTCATATGAGGCAACATAAAACTACATTCTTCCAAATGTAGTAACATTTGTTGTGGATTTTGTGAAAGTTGTCAAAATCAAAATGGAGTCACTTTTTCCTACCCTAACCAAAAATAAATAAAACTCAAACGTTTACTGACTTCCTACCAAAAAATGTTTTGGTTACTCTGGCATACAAATTCAAATTCAGTTTTAAAAGGCTGTCTGACACAAAAGCACCAAGTAGGTTGAAACCAGTATGGAGAGTAAAAATCCAGGTCCTGGTAAGGAAAAAAAAAAAAAACTGAATTAATAGTGTTCGGTGAAAGCAGTCGTGATGAAAGGAGGACTGGATTCAAGGATGAAATACAGTTTACTGAATCAGGAAACTGGGTGAATACTGGTTCCATTCACTCTGATAAAGTATACATAAGAGGAGATGCCATTTTGAAAGGAAACGAGAAAGGCTTGGTTGGTGTTGCGGAACAGTCTTAGAGAGAGGAACGCAGAGAGTATGGTAGCAGTCTGCAGCTCCAAGGGTTGGGGTACAGATGAAGAGCTGGGCCCCACCTGTATGTAAAGCAGAAAGCAATAGGAAAGAGTGTAGAGACTCCAGGGCACACAGCACAAAGCAATGGCCTAAGGCTGGAACTTAGGAGCGCCAGCATCTAAGGCAGGGAACACTGGCCTCGTTGGTGAATGCTTTGAAGGGTACACCACCCCCCAAACAGCAAACTAAATGCCATGTACCTCTAGGCACTCTGGGAACAGACGTATGGCTTTTGTTAGATTCTCATATAGTTCAATACCATCAAATAAGCAGATACAAAAGGGCAATGGGTAGTGGGCAACCAGGAAGGGGTCAAAAGCAATGAAAGAAAGAGGGCATTAGCAGTATCTCAAAATCCAAGCTTTAGAAGATCATCTCAAGGGAATGGTCAACAAGACCAAATGAGACTGAAGGTCGTAGTAAGGTTGGGACGCACGAGGTTTCACGTGTCAAAAGGACCAAGGTGCGACGGGGGCAGCCTCAATCCCAGTGCAGATGGGCTCCTGAGGCAGGAACCTCGCGCGTCCCGCCCGTGGACAGCTCGCTGGGGCCGAGGCTCACCGCGGCGGAAGGGTTCCAGAAGCACGTCTGCACGCGTGCAAAGGCGCCGCAGCACGGCTGCTCCCTGCGCCCGTTTCAGGTCCAGCACCAGCGAGCGCTTGCCCCGGGCCAACTGGCTCACATCGCCGAGGGAGCCGACCCGGTCCACGCGCAGCACCTGCGCTCCGAAGTCCGCCAGGACCATACCGCAGAACGGGCCGGGGGCTAGGCCAGCCAGCTCCACGACCCTGACGCCCTTCAGAGCCATACTGCCTCTCGGCTCCTTCAGAAGAAGACTGAGCAATCCCAGCCCGGCCCCTGCAAAAGGTTCAGCGGACCTGGATCACTCCTGCCTAAAGCGGACCTGGATCACTCCTGCCTAAGGCGCCGCCCCAATCCCGCTAGCCCGGCGAGCTCCCTCCCTACGCGCCTGCGCACAGCCGCGGAGTCTGCGCAGTGGCGCCCTTCCCGCCGGGCGTCCCAGGTCGCTAGTGCAAAGTCCGCTGTGATCTCTCCCTTCCCTGCAGCCTGGGTGTTCTGGAGTGCAGGTTTCGACCCTGATGACTCAAATTGTCACCTTTCTCTCTAGACTCTTATTCTCCCCGTGGCGTCCCCTGGCCATTGTACTATTTGAGTCCCTACCCTTGCCTGGCCTTAGAGAAATACAAATAATCTAAATACGTAAGAACTACTCTGGGGTATTTCCTTCCGCAGGGTGCAGGTTGTCTCCGTCACCGCCCCTGGCTTTCATATGGAATTGGCTCAAGATACCTCCTAGATGCACTAGGGAAACAATTTTAATATTAGGAGAACATTGGAGGGGTGCCGCTTATCCAGGACTGAATGAGAGAGCTTTAAAAATCGTTATCATTTGCTATCTGCCATTTCTGTGGACAATTACAGTTTCGAGTTTTCAACGTTAATGCCGCTCTTTTTAATCATCATCATCATCATCATCATCATCATCATCATCACATGTAGCCCCCATTACTTTTACAGTTTCTTCTCTACTCTGTATAACCTCTTTGAAGGTAGTCAGACAATTTTTTTTAATGGCCCCAAGACATTAAATAGAGCTGGAAGTGAGTGCCAAAAAAAATGTCTGCACTAATCTTTTGTAAGAATAGGTTTATGTATTTTGAGACAGGTGATAAGTGAAAACAAAACGTGGCACAACTGTAGCCAAAACTTGTTAGCCAAGCTTGAACTACTCTCGATGAGTTTTGTGATTTTATCAGGGCTCTTCAGCTCTCGCTATGAGGAGTTGTCTCCCACTAGAGACAGGCGTCTTCTCTGCCTGCATCTTTGAATGTTTTCCTTGCTGATCTGTAACTCATGTTCTTACCTTCCTTCGAGCATAAAGTTCCTTATCCCCTACTCTTTTATTTGTATTTTGAGAAATTTAAAAAGAAAGAAAATTGCGGAGAATTATATAGCAGACATCCAGACTGAGACATTTGTATTTCATATTTGCTTCCAGTCTATTTTCCTAAAAAACCAATAGTAACAAATGCAGCTCAGGCTGAGCTATATCCCAGTACCAAGAATCAGCTTCACATGAGTCAGAGATTTTACCCAGCATCACGCTGTAGTAGCAATTTCAAAGAGATGATTCATCAAAAGACTCAGACAAAGCATAGAGAAACCTAAGAAGTCTCACATGACTCTTCAGATTCTTCCTGCTCAAGACGCTTACCCTCTTTTATAGACTAAATTATGTCTCTTTGAAATTCATAAATTGAACACCTAACCTCCAGTAAATCAAAATGTGATTGTCCTTGGAGCTAAGGCCTTTAAAGAGGTAATTAAGGTAGAATAARTTACATTGGGTGGACCCAAATATGCCTGGTATCCCTATAAAAAGAGGAGTTTAGACAGAAAACACAGACCTAGGAATGACCATGTGAGTGAACAGAGAGAGGTAGCTATAAACCAAGGAGAGGGGCTTCAGAGAAAATCAACCCCACCAGCATCTCAACTTTGGATTTTCAGCCTCTAGAACTGTTAAAAAAAATATATTCGTGATGTTTAAGCCATCCAGTCTGTGTTATTTATTATGACAACCCTAGCAAACTAACATACCTTCTGACCCACAATTTTAGTTGAAATCTCAGATCACCTAATAGACTTTATTTTATATCTTAGAGATTTCTTAGCTATGGAACCATGCTTCCTGGATTTATTTGCCAATCCTTTGGCCAAATATATCCTGCTAAATGCATTTGATTGATAAATCCTCTTTCTTTTACCTAATATTTATCTATTTTCCAAAGGGCCATGATAAGGAGATTCACCTAATATTTTCTTTCTCCTCCAGATGCATTCCTGTATAAAAAGAAGTAATGGATCCTGCCTGAGCTGCTTTTCTCTCCTTCCATAGCTAAAGTTTTCTTTAATTTTTACCTACAGCTAGATTCTGTGCTCCCCACATCCTGCCATTTAAGAGACAAGCACTCCCATGATTTTGATGTGTGCCCTCAGTCCATTATATCTATCTGTAGCCATAGCTGTATTCTTTACATATTATATCATAGCAAACAAAATATGGTAGTATTTTGTGTTTTAATTTATATAAAAGATGTTAATTGCACTCATTTTTTTTCTGAACTACCCTTTTTAGTCTGTTTTATGTTAACTGGTCTTCCCATTTCTATTTCCTCTTGGACCAGTCAGAAGCAATGCAAAATGAATTCACTGGAAATAAACCAGGTAACTCATGTAATTGCTAAGAAAGCTGGAATTCAGGCAATTGGCAAGGCACAGTATAGTCTGGAGTACTGGAGTCATATTCAAAGTCACAGCATRATAACTGGCTAGAATAGAGAGTCTGAATAGAATAGATGTCTCCACTCACTTCCACCCTGCTGGACTCCTGTCCTGCAGTGAGGGATTGGCACCAGCCTAAATCACAGTCAAGAGGGCAGAGGGACTAAGTTGAAGGGGCTACTGCTGACAATTAAGATTCTAATCATTAAATTAGGATAAAGGCAGTGGTAGATTGAGCCACATCAAATAGGTAAATATTTAAAATGGTGTTTTWAAATAACCTTATTAAGTCCTATCTGTTATGCTAGGACTTCAGTTTGTTATTCTAAAACTCAAGCAAGTACCTTACCTTCCATATAAACTGTGCTCAGGATAACAAAATAGCTGATGAAAAAAAAATGTCTGTCTCAGTCATCTTTTTGTTGCTATAACAGAATACCTGAAATGGTGTAACTTCTAATGGAAATAGATTGATTTTGGCTCAGAATTTTGGAGGCTGGGAAGGTGGTGTATCTGACAAAGGCATCAAACTGCTTCTATTCATTATGGAAAGCAGAAAGAAGTATACAATTGGAGAGAGAAACAMACATGAGGGGCAGCCTCACTTTATAACAACCTGTCTCACAGTAACTAAACCAGTCCTCCRAGAGTTGAGAACTCATTCCTAGAAAAAGGCATTGTCCCTCTTAACAGCCTCATCACCTCTTAAAGGCCACAATGGCAACCAAATTTCATCATGAGTTTGGGAGGGGACTTATCTATACCATTGAATATATTTCTTTAAATTTTCACTGTTTTTCAATTCCGAATTAAAGAGTGGGTTTAAGCTACTGCTAACATATCATAGCAAACAAAATATGGTAGTATTTTTTATTTTAATTTATATAAAAGATGTTATATTGCACTCATTTTTTCTGAACTACCCTTTTTGCTCTGTCTTATGTTAAATGGCTGCTAAAAACATTAGGCAAGAAAATAATGGGGAAATGACTTAATATGTTCAAACTGCTGTAAAAAAAAATTATCATAAACTGGTCAGCTTAAGCAACAGGCATTTATTTCTCACAGTTCTAAAAGAAAAAAAAAAGCCCAAAATTCCTGATTTCATAAAGAAGGACTCTAATCTCATCACCTCTACTTTCTTGGCCTAACCTCCAAAGAGCCCCTGGAATAGGCAGCTTTTCACAGCTGTGACCCAAGTACCTGACAGTAACAGCTAAGAGGGAGTCAAGTTTATTTTAACTCTCTGTTTCAGAGGTTTAGTCCATGGTCCAACTAGTCCATTGCTTTGGGTTCAAG